CTAATTAAAAAATAGTGTTGAGTTTTTAATGCAAATCTATTAATTCAATTTTTCCCTCCTTTAAGAAATTGCATATCTTCCATCAGCCTTATAATGTATCGCAAATCCCGTCCGGCGCATTCATTTCTCCTCCGACTTAACTTCTTATCGTCGGTGTGTTGTTGTTGATGATCGATCATGTAATCTTTGAACTTTGATTACGAAAATCTGAGTCAGCATTTTATTTGTGTTGAAATTGCTATTCTTTCAGCTTCATTTGATCCGAACGTGATGAAGGTGCCGATGTTTTATTTGTATAAACGTTTTACTGAAAGAAAACCTTCGACGGCGTTCAATTTCTTGCGCTCGTATATCAAATGCATTATATTGTGCAAACTCACTTTACGTGATTTTGAAGTTTTGTAAACGCGTGAATATTGAATCAATTTCACCGTTAATAATGGAGTTTGAGTGGAAAAAATGTTACACAGCTACGTTTATCACAAATATATTAATATAGTATAGTCATAAGTTTCGAACAAAAGAATAAAAAAATATTTTTTGTGATGAGGATATGTTAAACTAATTAACGCGCATATACAAGTTATTTCTGGACAAATCTAATATAAAGAGCATAGAACATAGAGGTTTCTAGATTCCGACGTTTCTAGATTCCGTGGTTTCAAATACTTGCAAAATTGAGTTACAAATCACAAAATTTTCGTTAAATTACGAATTTTCGAAGTCCAAAAATGTTGTCAAGATCTTTAATTTAATTAAAAAATAACTTTTGCAAGCATATCTGTTTTATGAGGAAGTGAAATATAAATAATTGACCTACAATTAACAAAATCAGAATCAACATTGTTTAACAAAAACTACCCCTCATTCTGAAACAACTAAATTTCATTCAACCAGCTCCATCTGGCACAGGGTGACTCAATTTATTACCTTTTCTCTTCAACTCTCCATGTAAACAAACCCCAACACAGCATCCCTAACAGATGCACCATCTTTTAGATTTTTTTTGTACTTTGTACGATAAATAAAAAATAAAACGAATATATATTTTAATAATTTCATGATAAATTATTTTCAAATCTGGTTAGTTGCTAGTGGCGACACAGGTGTGTTACAGGTGATAATTTTCGGTTGTGATACATAGTAATAAAAGTTTTGAGAGTTGCATGAAGATGGTACCAGATGTATCGTCATATGAACAGTGTATATATATATATACATATATATATATATATATATATATATAATATTTATATTATCTATCTTTATATTGATTATTAATTATATTGATAATCAAATTATTGCTTGCCCCAATATTCTATACCTTAGTATGAAAATTACTTACATTTTTTATCTTCATTTAGTAATCGATCTCTGTATATATTTAATTAATTGTTGCCTTCAGTATTTTTATAGTATCTTGAAATTTTGGTAGGTATACCATATATATTTTAGTAAATTATACTTCACAATGGTAATTAAAAAAAATTTTGTTGCTCAAAAAATTTCATGTTCATGAGATCGACTTATTTGTAAAATTTAAATTAATATTTACAAATGATTTTTAACGACACTATTGATAGTCAAAAGTAATTTAAATCGCTTAGAATGCATTGATTAAAAACTTTCAATTTTCTCGTCATACATAACAATTACTAAAAAAAATTGATGTTTTTATTGGACTTTCATGCTTTTTTAGTTTTTAGCAAAATGTACAATTTTTAAATTCTAAAAAAACCTTGTTCAACAAAATTAATTCAAATTTTATCACTACAAAAATCATTTAAAGTCGCTAATTAATTAATTTTACACATTAAATTTTCTCAGAATACATTTTCATTATTGAAAAATCCTGATCATATTGATAGAAAAAAGAAATTCAATACTAAACTAATGCAATTATTAGATAATACCAATATTTTTCGAATAGTATATTTATTTTTCAGGACATCCTTGAAAAAAATTAAAAATAATTGAAGTATTTTTAATAATGCAGAATTGTTTAATTTTGCACTGTTTTTATTTTGCATATAATTGTTAAAAATTCTTTCTGAAAATATTAGTTTACATTAGAAAAAAACTCCTGAAACAAAAGTACTCATAAATAAGTAGTTACACAATATTAAGTATATTTCAAATTCTTTTACCTACATTTAAACAAAAATAAAAGTCAATTATTATTTTTTATAAGCTGACATTTATTGTAATACTTAAAGAAACAATTTTTACACAAGGGGCAGTTCCAAAAAATGTTTTGTATAAACGTGAATACACAACAATTTTTGTTTTCATGGAAAAACTGAAGTAAAACTAAGATCTTTGATATGTCGTATAAGAATTGCTTAGCTATTTTTTTATTAACACACGCATGTAACATACATACTAACTGGTATACCATACTTTATTAAAATAGAACAGAATTCAATTGAAATTAAAATGTGTTTTTTTAAATGCTATTATTTTATATAGATTATTGTTAGACTGAGTGCTTCCTTTTCTATATATAAAAATGATTTTAGCTCTTATTACGTGATATAGAATTATTATTGTTTATAAATAGTGAAGATCTATTTAATTTACAATGTCGTGTAAGGAAACCAGTGTGTTTTTTACGTGATTCATCTTTTGCAAAAAGTGTCATATCAATAAGTTTAACAGAGATTATGATATGGAAAATTTTATGTTAATTTAATCAGTCGTGTTTATACAAGTACTTTGAATTATAAAATTAAAATGTACGTTGATTTTGCTTGCAATCGTTGTACAAAATAAGGCTCAACATTATTATCCATATCAAAAAATCAGTTTTTTATAGTTTAAACGTGACTAGTGAACTATAAAATATTTTATATACATTAACTTTATTTCATAATTAGTTTTAGGCTATATTATATTCAAAAATTTATCTTCGAAATTAGCGTATAAATCAGACAAGTATTTCTAGAAAGTATTGTATGCAAAGCATATTCTTCAAAATTAAATACACATCAAATAGAAACGCTCTTCTGATTCATATATTTGCATATTTCTCTCGTAATTTTATTGCCATAAACAAAATATTAGGTGAAATGCTTTAGAAACAATATATTATTCTTTATTGTCCTTACTAAAAATTTACCTAATATTTTATTTTTTGCTGATATTTTTCTTTTAAATTGTGTGTTGAATATAATATAACGCCGATATCTTTAGGCCAGATATTTCTTTTTACTTTATATAACCAAAATTGTATTTTTTATAATTTGCGAAGGCCTAGCATGAACTTAGGTCTAACATGATAATCAAAAAGTAGGTACATAATAATTTATTGGGGGTTCATTTATTTATGATATAAAATATTTCTATTATATTAATAATTATATATACATTATTATCCTTAGGTATAAATTTTACAACTCATAATGCAAGTTCTCAGCTTCTTAATTTTGCAGCTTACAATAATTTTGCCTTTGTGATAATTGGTTAATAAATATTTTTGATTTAAAATTTTAAGATTTAAATAAACGAAAGTGCTCTTACGTATCACATTTTATAGTTAAAACTAATATCTAATAACAATGTAAATAATAATAAAAATGCGTTTACCCTAGTGTGTAATTTCTAATGTTTGATTATCGATTTTTTTATACTATATCATAATATTGATCGGTCATAGATAAAATTATAAATTTGATAGTATTTGTATTGCATAGATATTTGTTGCTTTATTGTAGAAGCATTATGTTTAAATAATATTGATAAATATACTGTATATTATATTTTATATTCATTTTCTATTGATTTCTTGCGGTTAAATCTCGGTCTCTAATCCTTAACATTCATTATATATTAATTATTGTTAAATATCTATAAATCTAGCTACATACGCTAACACAGTTCTTATAAGAGATATATAATACACCCTGTATAATATTTACAAAACGTACAATTACATTATCGATTATTACATTTTTTACTTACAAATAACTCACGAGTTCTAAATCGTCGTGTATAAAATATTAAATTTTCAAAATTAATTTCATGTTACTTATTGTTCCCATTCTTGTGTTATTATTTATAAATATTGGTTTTTCATATAGTTTTATTTTTAGTGCCGTATTTTATATAATTTAAAGTTAGGCAACGCTCGTAAAGCTATTAATAAAATGCAAAAATTATTAGAATTTCAAAATATGATAGATTTCTAGTCGTTCATTATTTCATTTTACAAGTTATTATCTAAAACATGATTTATACTCTATGTCGAATATTAATACTTCTTCAATTCACACGGAATTTTAAAATGAAATAAAAATATAAGCGTTGTTTATTGATTTTAAATTTACTTTCAATAATGTGCTTATACATTTAAAACTGTTATACTTTGCTTTATAAACAAAGCGACTGTAAATCATTTATTTTATCGATTGCAATTATCCGTTTCACGAAACTGGTGTACTGAATCCTAAGAGCATCCTCTGCAAAAACAAGTGAATTTCCCTAAAACTAGGCCTTTCACAATCGCTCCTTCGCCAACATTCCAACATCAAATCATAAATATCTTTACTCGCATTCATCGGTTTCGGAATGAACACGAATTGTCCATCATCTCTGTCCATGTGGGACAAATTCTCCACGACTTGTGGATCTGTAAATCCTTCATAAGGCTGTCGTCTTGCTAAGTTCAGGATTTCGGACAGTGTGACAGCAAATGACCAGACGTCACTTTTGGTTGTGTATCGGCCTAAAAAGACAGATTCCCAGGCGATCCATCTGATCGGTAAGGGCATTGATCCGTCCACTTTGTAGTAGTCGCCGGCATACAGTTCGTTGTCCGTGCCGAAGTCAGAGATTTTGATCTGGTAACCTTTTCCGACGAGACAATTTCTGAAAAAAAGGAAAAGACTCAAATTAATAATAGAAAGGTGTAATACAAATATTTTAGTGTTGCCCTGATTGGAAACACTGCCAAAAATATTATACAACTGCGTAAATTCTTTATTATCAATTATCAATTATCCTTACCTTGTTGCCAAATCCCTGTGCACAAAATTGAGGCTCTCCAAATATCTCATCCCAGCAGCGATTTGTGCTGCCATATGCAGCAGATGGTGTGGTGTCAACACCTGACCAGATGCCAAATGAGCAGGAGGTCCTTCTAATGCTCCTGGACCAGTGGAAGCTAACAAGAATGCTCTAAGATCACCAAGTTCTAAATATTCTAAAACGACGGCCAAAGGCTCATCCCAGCAGGCTCCTAAAACACGAGCGATGTGAGGGTCTTCCAAGGCTCCTAAGATGCGGACATCCCGGTGGAAATCGGCTCTGGAAAGAAGAAATAGGAACTTGTAATATACAAACAATAGGCAACGTAGTTAATAATAAAATGCATCTTCACAAAATGATCAATTTAGAAGATCAGAGCAAAAAATGAATGTTTATAACATTGATATTTTTCAAGCTTTGAATGTTTCTGATATGAGTCAGTTATTGATATGAGAGCCATAATAATTATTGTACTTTTTTAAATCAGACTTAACCAAGATTATCCAGTTAATAAAAAAGCATGAACAAAACAATACTTTATCAAACGCACAATGATATTTCCATTCCGATTATTTATGTCCTATTATGTACGATGACAAGTTCAAGAAACTTGCTCTTATATATAAATCAATATATCTAAAGAGAAAAAAATCTCCACTCGGTCAGAAATAAACCTTGTATAAGACCATTAAACACATATCGTACTCGGTCATAAATTTTCACTGACAATTTTCCTCGTAAAAGTACATTGATTTTCCCATATTTCTGCGATGTCATGAGATGTCCGGTTCCGTATATTATATATATATATATATATATATATATATATATATATATAAATCAAATTCAAATTTTATTTGCTATACATTAACAATTTATTTGAATTAAAATAAAATCTTAGCCTTGAAATATGTGGTAAAAATGTTCTTACTTTAATTTAATCAATGTTTAATTTAATTCTTACCAATTAAATTGAACATTGATAACTTATTTTTAATCAAACTGTCTGTTTTTATTTGTGAATTACCTACATGATTTATTAAGAATTACGTTTATTTCATCATACATCAACGTCTATATTTTGCGGAATCGGGAGTGAAATATTTACTGGTGGCTGATCGTTGAAAAAAGGGGAAAAATCCACCAAACATGACGTTTTTGCCTTCAAAAAAAGCCAGACTCTCTCTTAACTGCAGAAAATTCGTCATTGTATGAGGGAAATCACGACAGACGGTGCACAATTTTTTTCCGTTGTTCTGATTAATGATTTCCTTGCATTTGATGGCCGTGTAATTGAAATTTCGCAGGGACGGGGTCGAATTTTTGTTACAGCGAAAGGTTTTTATGGGCAATTTAATCGTATTTATCGGTTTGTTTTAAATACTTTCTTAGATACAATTATTTTTCTAATTAAGAGGAAAGTTGGTTTATTGGGTGTTTGATGTGAAACATTAAGTGAGCGAAAGAAAAAGACAGATTTACACTACAATGTACATGCTCTTAAGATAATTAGGCACATCACTTTTGTACTACATAGCAACTTTGCGTTCTGATAATTGATCAATAAAAGTTCCAATATATATAAATATTTGTTGTCATTGACACCCCACCGCTGCCACCATGTATGATTCACTACATTCTGCGTAGTTTGTATTCTGACCGTTATAGTGGTTTATATTTTTATCTGTAATTACTACGAATGGGTAGATACCCCTTACAGTATATATATATATATATATATATATATATATATATACAGAAATTTTCATCTTTATATCAATTTGATTGCTTCCTTCGGAATCCCTTGCTCCGCTATTGGTTCTGTGTGCTTTTCATAGAAAATCGCGAATTGCTATTATTTTTTTCTACTTTCCAGTTTCTCTAAAAAGTAAAATATTTCCATCGGTCCAATAACGACGTCTACGGTGCACATATTATGTAATTTAATAATACTATTATATGTGCGATATGGAGTGCTCTTTGAAAAGGGCTTCATTGAAAATATTATTAGCGTTATGAGAGCTGAATACAAAATGTTGGTACGGAGAAATAAAATCGATTCTCGCTTGCAATTCAATTCCACTTCACAATTTATCCATGAAATAGACGGCCAATTATTTTAAAAACGAAATATAAAGCCTGTGCCTCTGCGCTAAAACACAACTCGACGGTCGGGCACGTCCCGGCTATTTGCGCGTGTGGAAGAAAAAGACTCACGGCTCGGTAATTTATCGATACGTTATATAAATATCAATATTTTGTTCGTGATTTATTTTCGAAATTGTTACTACTTTCTTACAGTAATTAGACAAAAGAAATTCTTCGAAGAAATTGCACTTGTAATAAAAAAAAAAGCTCTCTTCATGTGTAGCAGGGCGTTCGAGTGGCAACTAAAAGCTCTTAGCAGTCGGAATGAACTTGTAGACTCGCGAAAAACATTAAATTTGTAATAACTATTTTTTATGAAAACTACATTATTATGTGTGATATTAATCATATTAGTGTGTAGGTGCTATATTTTTATCAAAGTCATAAATTAGCTTGGGCAAGCACATTGCGCAAAATAGAAGCATATAAAATCTTATGTCGAATGTTTTTAATAATCAAAGATTAATTTTGAAATCTTTGTCTTTCATTTGGTGTATCGCCTTAAAAGACTTACTCATATGATATTAAGTAGTTAAAAATGAACTTGAATTCTCAAAATTCATATTAAAAATCAATCCCACAACGGCAGTGTGTCACTTGAATTCATTTTCTCTAACTTACACATTTTTCACTGATATAATTCCATTTCCCATAGACGTTGAATATATTCCATCCTTATAAATCTATTAATTTTTCTTTCTTTCAACATTTCTCTTTTCCCGAATGAGAGGTCGCGACATTCTGTAACAACGGGGACGGATAAAATACTTAATGCTGGATACGTGTTCCCGCATAAAATTTTCTTGTTTTTCATCGAAAAATGTTCTGCTATGTGAATTGGTCTGACACCATGCACTGTATGAATTATTGAATATTGAATACGAAGGATATCCATATATCTAATACTTCTGTGTGCGAAACAGACACTATATGCTTGCTTTATGGACAGATGAAAAAATCGACGATCAATAAATTTTATTGGGATTCAAAATCATTTTCGATACTTACAAAATCATGATAGAATCATGTACGATCAAATGTAATAATTAATTATAATTAGAATGACTATTTATGTACAATACCTAATCTATTTATTCAACTAGAATTCTGTATTATGCCCATGAATATTAAATATATATTATTAGCATTATGTGGATGCTACCGATAACTAAGTAAATAAAACAGCAAATTTATTTTGCTATTTACAAGCTGTATTATATATTTTATCACTCGTGTAATTAAAATCATTATATGTTTAATAGATAGTAATACACATTTAGCTATTACGATATCGGGTTTGGTAATAAAGTAAATAGTCTGGTTGGGAAACTCTAATGACTGTGATTAAATAATTACATTACGGTCGCAATAACCTCTCATGTACTACTAAATCAAATACAAACACACAAAATGGGTCCCTACATTACGAATGATATTTATTATCACAAACAGTTATCAGGGAAAAAATAATATTTTAATTATGTTTATCTAGTATAAACACATAGTCAGTTTTCTCGTGTATTTTCCGCCCTTAACATTTTCATATTCATTCAATCCATCAAGGAAAAACGCAAGTTGGCGTTTTCTATACGTTGTGTATCGTGTTTGGAGTAAATTATTATTCATAAACTACTATTAGCCGAAAGAGAAATGACTGCACATTTGTGGAACGGGAAAAAAGCCGGATTATTATATAAGATAAAAGGAAAAGTCATAATATGATGGAAAAGGGTATGCTTTAATAAGTTATGAGAGGTCTTAACGAACCTAATTTGGTGGATTTAATAAGTTTGTTTTGTTTCAAATGTTTGAAATGGATAGGCTTAGATAAAGCGAAATTTTTAAAAGCTCAGGATAGAATTAGATTTATTTTGAGAATTTAGAAAATCCAACATTTTTGAAAATTTTCAGAACTTTTGAAATATTTAAAAATTGAAAAAATGCTATTTCAGAAAATTTTGAAATATTCAGTAACCTCAAGAACGTAAAGATATGCAAAAATTTTCATTTCCGATTTTCGTACGATAGCAGTGACCTACCCTACGAGAAGTTGAAAAAATTTATTACTTGAATAATGCATTTAACCGAAAAATAGTATTATTTATAGTTGAGGTTGGACTATATTTAGAAATTGATTTGCTAGTTTTACCATTGGGCATATTGTAAGTATAGTCGTAGTACGTTGATATTCATGAATCACTTTAGGCTTTTATGTTCTTCTACAGAAAAATATTAATTTTATAAATTGATATGGAATTGTAAATACATGTCCCCACCAGAAAGCGTTTCAATCAAATTAAAATCAACGGGCACCCGTTTTGTTTTTAATACATTATCGTTTTCGGACGAAGAGAAAGTGAGCGAGCTTTCTACCCGTGCAATTAAGATTTTTTGCAACACCGGGGTGCGCACCGACCGTGAGACCCTCTCTCTCTCCTTCGCGGGGGCGGGCGCGTTATGCAACCGCCATTAAGAGATTACCCGAGATTTGAAACAGCAAAGGCTCCACGGTATATTATTTAGCCACGGCCAGTGATTACATATGAAATTATGATGCCGTCTAGACACGCAATACGTTTTGTGCGAATTCGAAGGCTCGTCCATTAGGCTGAGGAATAATTCAATATTTTAGCGTTCTCTCTAACACTCGCTACTTTACGGCGACGCGGTGTGGTTATTGACGATTTTTATGTCCGGTTAAAAAAAAGTGAACACCACACCCGCGTGACAGGATTTCGGAGAATGGATAATACGCGTTATTTTTGCTCGTATCGGCAACGGACCATAAAATGCATGCTTTTTGAGATATTAAATTACATTTTATGTAAACGACCCGAGGTGAAGATTGATAGCTGCGCTGTGAAACATGTTTTAGTAATAAATTCAGCAAAAATACGCATTTTTTAAATGCGTTTAAGTTGATTGTTGCACTGTATTTGATTAAAATATGTACATCCTATTACTTACTTTTCTTTCTCCGAAGCATCTTGAAGTAAGAATTTAACAGCAACTAGTCGTTTGCCCAAGGATGTTTGGGAACCGTATTCTGGAATTCCATCTGCTTCCGCAATATACACCTAATGACATAAATTATATTGAACTACGACTTGTCAACGTTCTAGGATGTATTTGGAGTTTTAATTGCGTGAATGATTTATTTGAGGATATAAAAATATATAAATTGATACTTACAGTGCCAAATGCTCCATCGGCTAATTTGCTTAGCATTCGCAATCTATGTCTAGGAAATTCGGGCACAGATGTTTGTTCTAAGCGTTTCTTCAAGGCATTGAGAACATCTTGTTGAGTCGGACTCTAGTAAAAAAAAAGTCAAAATAATTATTTGTTAAAATAACTTTAACAACTTACTGTGTGTTTCTCTATAAAAGATTGTTATTACAATTTAATAAACTACCATCGGATACAAAAAGTGCACGATGTTAATTAAATTATTATTACATCCTACCTATTTTCGTAAACTTTTGCCATCGGATGCGTGAGTTTTCGAATTAAGAAACACCGGGCGGCAAAATATTCAGCCGGTATTTTATGGAAAATCTTAATACGCGTCGTAGTCATGGTTGCACGCAACATTAATATTTAATTTTCAACGGCCGTTAATTGTGATTAATTATTATTTTAATTACGTGTACCAGCACCGTCCGTCGCGCCGTCGCAGCGAGAAATTTGTTAACGTGCATCTCTCCATGTTTGCGAAATGGAGACGTTACATTAAAGATTAATGTCGTATGTTCGGAACTGTGTAAAATGCAATTTATAATTAAACGTTTTATGTGCGGATGTAATCAAACTTGCCAAAATGTTTAATAAAGTGGATTTTGTAAGATATAGAGGATTTCACCGGAGGAGATGAAGTAATTCGATACCTATAAAAGGTCACATGGGTAACACAAAAACGACTTGGTTTGGGTGAATATTGTAGACAAGCTTGATTTAACTGATTTTTTAATTTTATTTAAATATCTGCGCCTGTTTCATTATGCATCAGCAATATTTTTGATAAAACTTACGATATTTAAATCGAATTCCAATCCAGTAATTTGATGTACAAAGACTGCACTTCAGATTTTGTATCTTTTTCTTGAATTGTTTTGAACAGCAATCAGCCGTATTAGGGGAGGAGGAAGGTTTGACAAATAATTTGATTTTGTGGGTTTTTTCATTCCTTACCTTTTTGCCTTCACCTCGTACACTTGATCTAGGCCCTCCTCTGCAATATCCAACCTCATTGGGTTCGCAACCGGTGGTTCCACTGCTTATGGTGCTACTGGCCCCACTAACCCCACGTTCTGGAGGTAGCAAAGGTGCTGTTCCTAACTCTGGCACAGCGTAATCATAGTTGGAAGTGTCTGAAAATAAAAATAAAAAATTAATGCGTCGATATATTGATAACCTAAATTAAATTGCACGGTGTGATTAGTACACAACATGCCCTTTGTGCAATGAATAACTACACTAGAGCTTATGTATCTTTTACTGGCTACCTAAATATATGGCTTTACTTATTTTTCTCCTTTTTGTCATTTATCTAATCAAATTTATTTATTATTAGTTAAAAGTACTTTATCTGTTTTTTCTCAGAATGCTAGCCTAAGTGTTTCTACTCAGTGTAGTGATACGTGTGTGTTAATAACAACTTGTAAATAGATTTCATCGACACCGGACAAATGCAATAAAAATGTAATTATTTTTTCCTCGTGCACACTTTACGAATCGATAAATCCGATTTGAGATTTTATCGACGCTGATCTTTAATAGGTGTTGTCCGAGCGTGCCCGTCGGTGCGACACGCGAGTAAATCCATGGAGACCGCGGATGTGTGGGACGCTGAATTAAGAATGAATTAAAAACCACTTGTGGGTAATAAAAAATTTAAAAGAGAAGATTTTTACTAGTCTTGATGCTCGTAAAAATTATTTGAGCCTTATATTAATATTGATGTAGACTGGAGCTTTCGGGAGCGCTGGTAGAAAAGTCTTCCACTATCATCCCAAAAGCAAGTAAAGTGCGGTATTTTCAACAATACATTTTTAAAGTAGAGGCCTATAGATGGGTAACCAGCCAACGCCTTAAATCATACGACTTTGTTGTCAGAAGATAAGCAGCCACATTGTCGTCAATTAACAAAACTCTTAACGAAATCCTTTTTTGGGCACTGTTGTTTAGTTCACGACACTTGAATATAATATTTAAGTATACGTTATATATTTAATTTATAAAATGTATTGATGGTTTTAGTTAGATTCAACAGTTTATGTATCATCTTCTTATACAATCCTGAAGATTCTCAACTTGCATAAAAAAGTAAAGTACATGCATTCCTGTTATACGAGCGCTTACAACTTTATTATCAATTTGGCAGGATTTTATGAACAAAAGCAAAAGGATCGCCTTACTCCTAAAGCCAGCAAAACACAACATACCAATAATATCCATTAGAGTCGTCTGATGGCTCCAATTTTAAAATTTATAGTTTACACTATACCTTACTATATATTACTCTATTTACACGAGTTTATATTTCATTGCATTTGATATGACCAGTTGCTCTAAATTATAATGCGATTTATTAATCTCAATTGACATAAACATATACGATTTTCTACATGTTTAATGTGGCCGCAATATAATAAATCATAGTGGTATAAATTATTAAATTATTTAAATTGTGATAATAGACAGTTATCATGTAGGTGGTATGCAAAAATAGTAGACATTCGAAACTCGGAGATCTAGTTACATGCATTAAAACTTTCAGAAATCATAATTTTTAGTAATAAATATTTGATTGATATTATTGCCATGAAAACTATTCGAAAATAATACGTCTGGCTGCAGGGGCTGTGTTACGCAGCAAATATTTTGATACAAGCATATACCTATGTATTTTTATTAATAATAAAACAATGCCGTATCAAACATGATATCCTCCTAGGTTTTTATATCGCGATACGGTCACGTTTTTCTAAATGTTCGCCGTTTCTTTTGTAACTTGGGCTTTGCCGTTGTTGTTGCTGTTCTTGCTGTTCAAGCGACGCTAATTAGCAACTTTTGCCGCGTCCGATATAAAGTTACGGCAGCAGAACCGTGTCGCTTGTGTGTAATAAAATGCTATTGAAAAACTAAGAATTGTTTTGTTGTTAGAAAAGAATAATCCGAGTATAAGGTGCAAGAGAGTAAAGTAAATTTTTAGCTGCAGAAACGCGACTATAATTTGATCACAAATATACACATCTCCAGGGGAGAGTAGGATAAGACGTAAGAATATGGAATACAGTAGGCGTATGTATTAGGCGCGGTCTCTTCTTCAAAACTTCAGTTATTTTTTTATAATGAAACTATTTCTCATAGGCCTATAATATTTTAAACTCTTTGGCTTAAACTATCAACTCTGTCACCAGGCGAAATTTCCTCAACATCCCAGAAGAGTAAACCTGAGGTTCTCCTCGTTAGAGCATTTTTTAAGATGTCAATGAATTATAGTATTTTTTTAAAAAACTTGCACTGATATTCGACTAATTTGTTATGTCTGTAAGTATACTTAGAAATTATTTTTGAAAACTTCTAATGAAACAATTGTTATATTCACTTATTGAAAAGTCTCCTAAATTAACAACTTCAATTAACGTGTGGTTCCAATTATCTTAGTAATTCACCTCATTCGCAGATTGCATATAACATCTACGATTCTGCATCATAATTTATTGGTTATATTCACTGATTTTTGTTGAAATATTATATTTCCAGAGTTATTGACCCGTCAGCCTCAATCAGTTTTGCATCGCCAGCTTTCTTAGTTGAATATTAAAACATCACCTAGAGTTCGCAACCCTATGTATGTATAATTCCGGCCCAAGTATCATAGTTCCACATCCACATTGTCAGAATGTATGTATTCACTTGATCCCTGATACCAGACCACTAATTGCGTCATCACTTATTCAATGCGCGGTTCAGGAACACTTCCTACTGATCACACAATGCTCATGATGGTGGTGCACAACTACTATAGTTGGCCAGTTGTTCTTCATTCTTCTATTGTGTAGAACAAGAACTTCTATTCTTCTGTCTAGTTATTCTTTTACATAATGATATGTTGGGCACATGAACTTTTTGGTGACCGCTTATTGTAATGGGATGGAAATGAATTATGGATTTGTGGCCTGATTTGGGTTATGTAATTTTTGTGGGCACGTTAGTATCGATTCAATCGGTAGACGATAGGATGGAAAGTACATATTGGTTATTATTCAAGTTTTAATTTCAAGAAAACAGTCGCTAATTTTGTAATAATTAGCTATATGTGCTACTCTATTGGATGCTGAGAACTTACTAATTCCTCATCTTTTCCAGTTGAACAATTCTAAATCAAACGTATAAACAATTAAGAAAATAATTTGAAACTGTGGTAGAAGTATGTTATAATTAATTGTTAAAAAATATTGTACATTTTCTTGAAACAATGCTCCACCGCCTACGGAAAT